ACAGGTATCACTATTTACACGTCATTTTGCAATTAATCGCGAGCATACGCTGGAACGTTTCGCTATTGATAATTTCAGGTGACATTTTCTTCTTCATATACTCACCTTAAAATGTAGTTGTATATCACAGAAAACAGTTTTAATTTTCAAACTGCATTCAGTCAAAAATAATTGAAAATTGATTAGCAAGAAAATATCTCAGTGAAGTGACTTTTTTGTCAGCAATCACACAAGTATGGGAAATAATTGCAGACCAGTTCCACGACCACCGCAAGGCTTAAGTGAAAGTTTCTATGAGCATTATGTGACATATAGCCTATGGTCTTATAGTCGCGAGCCAATAAAGATACCTTTACTAAAGGTTTGCAATTATTCTATATCTTTTGTAATTATTCTCTCATTTTCAAGAGTTTTCAGTGATTGGTACCAAGCTCGTATCAAATCTTGCTGGTAACCTAACATTTCTTTCTTACCCATATTATGGGTTGGAGCAGTTATTCGGGATCATATGACAAAAGAGTACTACTGATGACCACCTTTTGCAGAAACTTCAAGGAAAAAAAGAACCGTCACAAGCAGCAGTTAAGGGATATTTAGCGATCTTAAAATATATGGGGGATTATCCATGCCGGCGCATTTCTACTATCACTGAACTTACCGATGAAGTTTTCAAAGGAGCGTTCAAATATGTTCGTTTCTCCTTTCCTTCTTTTGAAACTAAAAACTTTTTTTGAAGTTATCAAAAGGTCAGCACTCTGCTGCTGACTGGTAGCTTTGCAGGAAATCATCCGAGACGAAGTGTACTGTCAGTTGATGAAACAATTAACGTGGAACTACAATCCGGTGAGTGTGGAGCACGGATGGGAACTTATGTGGTTATGCACTGGGATATTTCCTCCAAGTCAGTCACTCTTCAAAGAAGTGGAATTGTTTCTCCGTACTAGACGATATCCCTTGGCGCTGCACTGTCTCAATAGACTTCGACGAATCCAGCGGTACAACTTTCATTCAATTCTAACATAAGAAAAAACAATGAAGTAATTTCTTTTCCTTCTTTGTTTATTCAATTTTCGTTCCTTCTTTATCAAATTGAAATAGAATTTTAGGATTGGACGTCGGAAATTTCCGCCGCATGATGTGGAAGTGGAGGCAGTACGACAGCGAACTATACAAATATTCCACAAAACCTTCTTTCCTGACAATTCAGATGAAATTATCGAAGTGGATTCGACAACAAAAGCTCAGGATTTCTGTCATCGAATTGCAACACGTTTGGGGCTCAACTCTGTGGATGGATTTGCTTTGTTTGTGAAAGTTAATAGCAAAGGTAATGAAACATTTGATACAGTTTTCGAAAAAAACCTTGATTAATCATTCATTCTTCAGTGATCTCAATTCCGGATAATGAATTTTTCTTTGACTTCTTGCGGCAATTGTTCGAATGGATGCATCCCAAAAATGGAGCACTATTTAACTTTTCCTACCAACTTTTCTTTATGAAAAAGCTGTGGATTCATACAGTACCCGGAGAAGATCGTATTGCTGACCTCATTTTTCACTATCCTCAGGTTATTAAATTTTGTTAAAAGATATATGTTACAAATTTATCATACCTAATATCATTGTTTTAATACTATTTTAGACTATTACTTCAAAACAATCATTTTAAAGGATTAAAAGCATTAATTTTTAATTATTCACTAATAGGATATTCAGGTACTCTCTGAAAAAGATGAGAGCAGCTGGGATTAATTCGTAAAAATAATTGCTGAAAACCAAGATTTTATTTATTTTCATTTAAAAATTGATCATTAAGCTGAACACTCTTCCGCATTTCTTTCTTACATTTAAGAATTGAATAATTAATTACGCCTAGGAATTACCTAAATATTTACGCGGTTACCACGCGGTTACTCGGCAGCAAGCAGTGGAATTGGCAGCCGTAGTACTTCGTGCCCGAACTCGTGATGATAAGGAAGCGCCATTGTCTCAGTTGACTCAAATTATCTCGGATATTGTGCCGCGTGACATGATAAAGACGTACAATGGTGCTGACTGGAAAAAGGTATGGCTTTTTTTATAGTAAGATAAGTCTTATTGTTATTGTTTAAGTTCGAGTAATTGCAAGCTAGGCTCTTTTCACATCCGTTCTAAATTTTGTATTTTCGATTAGCTTATCAAAAATTTCGTAAACTTTACCACTTTTCCTGCCGATCTTTCCGCAGTAGACATGATGGCTCTTGTTATTATTATCATCATTATTATTGATATTATTTTTAGTCTAATTAACGGTCTTAGTTCTTTTCAAGTACATAACAAGTGCATACGTTGGACGTTTTGAGAATATGCCGTCAAGCGAAGCCAAAATACATTTCCTGAAAACAATCGCTGAATGGCCTACCTTCAGTTCTACGTTCTTTGAGGTATTTGCTTGAATTATGATCCACATACGAAATTAATAGTTTCTTAAACTTCAGAAAATAGTACCCGAGAGTTAAGCTGAAACTTCTATTTGGAAATTTCAGCTTAACTCTTGAAACAGAAATTTACACTCATGTAAGTACAATAAAGTAAGACTTTGTTTTAAGCAATCGTTAGTTTTTAAGTGAAAGTCAGCATTTTTAAAGTGAATCGTTCAGGTAAAACAGTCTTCGGATTCAGCGATTCCGGATAAATTGTTGATAGCGATCAACAAGACAGGCGTCCATTTATATAACCCCTCAACGAAACAACGTATCGTTCACTACCCATTCACAATATTGAGAAACTGGAACAGTGGCAATACATATTTCCATATGACTATCGGAAGTTTAATGAAGGGGGGTCGAGGTACTCGATTGCTTTTGGAAACATCGCTGGTAAGCTCTCGACATATTTCTTTCGACGATGTCGAATATATATCAAAAGCTCTACTAAGAAACAAATACTTTTTTTTTGTTGATCTAAACGATAACTAGTAATTCCGGCATCATATATCAAATTAATTTCAAGTGGCCACTATAGTGAAACACTATCTGAAGAGTCGAAATACTTTTGAAATGTAAAAAGTAAAATGCATATTGACTAATTTTCATTTTTGTGTACTGTTGAATTGTACTTTCAGGGATACAAAATGGATGACTTGTTGACGTCTTACATCAGGCTGTTCCTTAGCGCCCTCAATCGACCCTCTGCCGAAATGATTGAAAACGAAACTGCGGAAGTGTGATCACCACTGCTGAATTTTTAATTGCATTACTTATATGTATCGTCAATTAACACTTCAAATCGTTGCATAATATAATAAAAAAAGTTGATTAGAAGCCGTCAATTAACAACTCTTAATAGCCTTCTGGCCCTGTACAGCAAAATTAGAAAGATAATGAAAAAGTTTTCTCCACGCCTTTTTCTTTTCCACTCCTCTTCGCGGAATTTAATTAGTGTTTAGCAATTGCATCGGAAGTTAAAGTCACCAGTTGAATTTCGTGAGTGAGAAAGGAAATGCAATATAAAGGATTTCCGATTAGCTTTTCTCTTCCTCTCCATTCAATCAATTATTACTAATACAAAAGCTCTTAGTTTCAGCAAGGCTAAGTAAAAAGAATAAGATAGGCATTCAAATTATATAAAATTCCAGATTGATAAGTTTGTTCATATGCCGATGAAATTGCGAAAAGAGATAGGATAAGCCAATTAATCTCAACATTTGCAATGTCTTGCTTTCAGTGTCACAACAAATCAGTGAGGTTCAAAAAATTACAAATAACCATAACGATTTTGTCCATCAATAATTGTACTGTTTCATTTCGATCGCATGAGCACTTCTAATCAAATTCGGACAACTCTTTTTTGATAGTTATAGTTCACAAACTTTGGGTTTAAAAGAAATTCCGAAACACGGACAACCATTGATTGACTTTGCTGATGATATTCCCGATTCTTAATATCCGGAAATAAGTAACTGATAAAGCAATTTCAGGAGATTGCGACGCTGTATCGGTTATTAAAAAGGGATTACCGGAAATGGCTAAAATGGACATTTGGGTAGTCCTAATGAAAAAAACATACGGAAAGAAGGAATTTTCCCTTATAATAAATGAATTGAACTCCTAGAAATTATGTGATATCTTAAACAAAGTTAAGAATTTTCCTGTCACGTGTCATCAAACGGCTTTAGCAATAAATTGCTTCACTACCATGTTACCTTATTCGGAACTGATGACCGCTTTCACTTTCTATTAATTGATGTGCCAATGAAGGCCCTTCCTGATACACAAAACTGTTGATCAAAAGAGGAACCAGTGCAGCATAAACCTCTAAGATTATTTTACTCACTTTCGAAATATCGCAAATACATCAATACGAAGAGGGGAGGTGAAAATATAACAATTTAACAAAGGGTTAGTTCGTCAGATGAAATCGGTCTCATATGCGAGTGGTACTTGGAAATTTTAGTTGTGGGAAGAATTTCATGAAATCGATTGCAGGAGGAGTCAAACTATAGTACTGAGTTAGAATACTAGAATGTACTGAGTTAGAACAAATTCTTCTTCTGATCTGATGTCCAGTAATGCCACCACACCTGCTTGAACACGAGCTCCAATCATTCCAGCTAGACCAATCAGCACTTTCAGGAACTGAAGAGTATGCCAATCACTTTTATAACTTCTATTATCAAAGTTTTAAATTCATAAGGGCTAGGTGAATAGCAACTCTAAGCCACATACAACATAAAGGCAGAGTACACGTGCTCTTCTGCAAAATAGAGTGATGGCTTCATAATTTGGCAAAATCATCGTCTAAAATGACTGATTGAGAAACAGCTATAACGTGACTATTAACTCCATTGGCTCTATTTAGGCACTGCAATTATAAAGGTGCAGCTTGATTTTTCATTTTTGACAACAAAAATGTCAATATCTTTTATTTGATGTCAATATCTTTTATTTGAACTTTCCGAAAAAAATTGCCGTTTGCTTTCTAAAAATTTAAAATGTGATTAAAGTGTACATTGAGAGGCCTTCACTATATTAATGCCGATTTCTTTCGTTTAGTTATTCCAGACGAAGGAATATTGTACCTGGCTGTTGCTAGTCACCAGGCTCTTCAAAAACCACTTCTGTATAACAAAAATTTTTTATAAATTGCACTTGAAAATGAAGAGCTTGTAACTGTGGATAAAGCATCTGGACAGGATGCGTTATTACAAGATTGCTCTTTCACCAATGTTCCACACCATAGGAATACGAAAGATGTTTTGTACTTCTTAAATCTGCAGGCTCTGCAGGCCCTTATCACAAGAAGTGGAACAAAATGATTAGTCTGATCACGAGGTCCAATTATCGTTGCCTATATCAACAAACAAAATGATACCATGCTGAATTCTAAAGCCTAATAAATACCAATACGCTATTCTCATCCTCTTCTAAGAATTTCTACACGAACTGGTATGACATGTTGTGGAATTGTGAATTCCCACAATTTCAACACTAAACTTTCAATTGAACTTCCTTTCTATTAAACCTTTCTCATTCTTTACTCATTCTTTCATATTCCCTCAGTTCATAATATTATAACAGCTCATTCTAGCAACATTCTCAGAGAATGCCAAATTTCGAACTTGAAAGCGACCAAAATTATCTTTGTTAATAGAACTACCTTCCATTTTTTATCAACTTATTACCAGCTCTGTCTCTCTCCCTCTCAAATTACATCTTTATCCATCAAAACTTCCCCTTTAGTAATGCTAAAAAGCTTCACATTCTTTTACTGAGATACGGTTATTTCATAATAACACTCTACTTTAGAAATTCCATGAAGAAATTTAACATCTGAAGTAAAACTGATGGTCAATCACTCGGGAAGGTAGCGCGCTGTTACCATAAAATGAATTTGAGAAGAATTTTTAGGTACAACTTCATAAGATTAGCATTAGGTCCAGATATACCTTCTCTTGTCGTATATTCACGACATCTTGAACATTTATTAATTCTTTATTAAAACAATAAACGAATTTAATTACAATTTTACTTAAAGCGATTACTTTCTTATAGAATTGTTTCAATTTAGGAGAATTGAATTCCCTTGCTGCTATCCAACCCTCTTTTAGCAAAAGTGGCTTATAAAATAACTAGGATAATTCACCGGAAGTACTACACAAGTTATTGTTGCATAATTGGATATCTAAAATTGATTCTCCTTTTGTGCAATTAATACCATTTCGACAAGTGCGTTTCCTGAAAGAAAAGATTTCTAAAAGTTTGTTACCTGGTTTAATAGTACCACTTACTCAGTTAGGGATTGATTATATATACATAACTACTAGCAAGTACAAATGGGATTGCATTAGAGTGCAGATAAGAGTGAAAGAAAGCGAGAGTCAAATCTATTAAAAATACAAAATTCTGAAGGACTTCGCAGCCAGCTGAATTCACAATTTTGCCAACCTTATACGAGTACCTGCACCACAGGTGCGTGAACATGGCTGCCACTCTTGCCACTCATTCCATATAGCCAGCGCTTTTGCTTCCGAATTAATTGCTTCCCTAATATGACCTGGCTGTATTTTACGAGATTTCCTTTCGCTTATACGTGCCGATGCTTCACATGAAACATCACAAGTTTCTGTTTCCTTTGCTTTACCTAAAGCTACGAATGTCATAGAGAATCGATTACTAATCATACTTCAGCGAGCAATTATAGTGAGTAAATTACATGTTTCATAATCGTATTACTTTCATTTTTCCCTTCAATTAAACAGAGAATAGTCTACCAGAACATTCATATTCGTCATCGCCAGCTCGTATGAGGCCTATTCGGCAATATCGTTTACGATATCGTATTTCCTTATGTTCACAACTTAAACAATCACTCCAATCATTCCATATAGTCCATTCGGGACATGGGCGTAAAACACAACGTCGTTGATCAATTGCTGAATCCGATTTTGGACAATTCTCTGCAAAGGCTTGGAATATCTTACTTTACAACGGTAGACTAAGTTATGCAATCAACACTTCAAAGATGAATTCGGATTGTGTTTTATCAGCTTATTTCAAGGGCACATATTTCAACAAAAGGATCTCATCATTCCTTCACGTCATCACGGCAATACTGCAAAAAGTATTCAAGTGTGACCAGAGAGAGAGAGAGAGAGAGAGAGAGAGAGATTAACTATGCCAGGTATATTTCTCCTGAGTTGTGCGCCTTGATCACCAAATCTTTTCACCTTCATCTATCGAAAGGACAAACCCGTGATACATTTTCGGACTCTGATTTGTATACCTTCACCACAGGAAGCAGAACAAGACAGCCAATCGGACCAGTCACTCCAAAGTTGCAATAGTGTTCCACCACTTCTACAATCCTGCAACTTCTCAAAGTATTGAAATTTGCTGACCAAATGAATGAAGTGATGAAACAATAATGCTGAATATTAGATGTGAATATCAATTGAAATAGCTAGCCTTTCACGGTCAAAGATTCAATTAATTAATCACTTTATTCTAATTCAAGTCAAAAATTTGCCAAACAATCAATTAAGTAAACCAACTTTCTCATTACACGTTCTAGCTTGCTTCTGTCCGCTGGCACACAACGATCCATCACATAAACGCTCACGTAATTGAAAACCCAATCCGCATGATGCCGAGCAAGGCAACCAATCACCCCATATTTCCAGCATGCATTTCTGGAAAACAATCCTTATCGAATTGAAAAATTATAGATTAAAGAAGGAAGGTTGTGAAATACGTATAAATGGAAGTTGATTGTAAAGATCATCCAATACTATGTATCTCATTTGCTTTAAGAGGTGAAATTCGGCTGGTAATTGAATCATCCAATAATACTATGTATCTCATTTGCTTTCTTTAAGAGGTAAATTGATCATCCAATACTATCTTATTTGCTTTCTTTAAAAGATGAAATACGCCTGGTAATTGAATTAATTTTAATTGCACTCAAAGGACGTATTAAGAAAACAATTGCTCTAATTGTCGAAAGCCCGGAATAATTTATAACAAATGTTTCTATAATATATTATAAATATTTTTCATTCAAGTGATTCATCCCATAAATTGTAAAGTTTAACACAATGTATCATGTAACTCAATTATTAGCCTTTTTTTTAATCCTTGATTATCATGCTTATCATTAATGGTTAAATTATTGTACGCTAATTCATATGAGAATGTTTTCGGTTTAATAACCAGTCATGTTTCAATCATTATGCTGTTATCAGATCTTCCTATCACAGCCTTTCTTTTTTGTTTTTTTTTGTTTTTATACTTATCGTTGTATCCAAGAAGATTTTATAAAATGTTATAACTCTCTCTCTCTCTTTCTCCCTCTCTCTCTCTGTATATATATTGTTAATAAGTAGAGCAAAGAGTGTTTTCTTGAATTGGCTTTGACGTTACTTCTTATTACATCATAATCACCAATAAAATTTCACCATGCATTTTGATGTTATATGACACTACTATTTCTACATTTAAGTTTGAACTACTACTTTAGCAAATAGACCCAAAGTATATTTGCTCGGACTAATTAGTAAAAAAAATCTTTAAGCGATTGACTCTTGCCGATAAATTACTGAACCATTCTATAACGTCCAAGAGGAAACCTCGCCTAAAGAAAGAATTAATTCTCTTCAACTTTGCCAGCTCAAAGCTTTCCCAAAGCAAAATAAAAATTCACCACACTAATATATCAGAGCGAAAGATTTTTTTAACCTTAGTTTCACACGGCTCAATTTGGGTGCCTTCACCTTCACACCCATTCAGCTCACTACACTGACGTTTTCTGCTCCGTTGTCCACTACCGCAGGTCGTACTGCAAGAAGACCATAATTCCCACTCATTCCACGCAGAACAGCTATCCTGAAATTGCTACAATCGTCTAAAAAGTGGGAGAATAAGGAACAAGCTGAAATTGAACTAACAAGTGGTAATATCACCTTGCTGCAATCGCGTCCTTCTTTAATAACACTGGAACAATTCTGTCTTTTCATACAAATCTGTGCTCTGTTTTGCATCCCACTGCAACTCACATTACATCCACTCCACTTTTCGGACTCCAAACAAGGCGGTACTTCGGGAAGACATGGTCGAGAATCCACTGATTCACCTGCACATTTTTGCTGAAATGTCCACCATTTACACTATTCACAGATAACTCCAAGATGAATGAATGTTCCAATACATTCTTCACTATTGTGCACCTTATTTTGACGAAATTTGAAAGTACAGTAAACTTGCGACAAAAGCTTACCGATTGACAGATTCGTTTTCGTCGTTGTTTTCCACCAGAACCGCAAGAAACTGAGCATTCAGACCATCCAGTCCATTCACTCCATTCCTGACCATCACTATCGAGAGTTGCAGGACAATCCTCTCTGCTTTCCACTACAGCTTTATTATTACACATCACTGTCTACAATTAAGTTTTATTTCCCACCTATGGTCAAAAAAGTAATGCATTTTAGCAATTCAGAATAGGAACCACTGACTCACCAAGCATTTTCCTCCAACACAAAATTGTCCAGACCCGCAGGGAGAACCATCCGGATAATGACCCTTGTTTCGGATCAGATCCGAATTAACCAAATGACACCAGATTTTACATGGTTGTGTACTGTCTGCAAAGTAAACATGAAGTGATAAAATGGTGCAAAGTTGAATTAAATCGAACGCTTACATGAGTACAGAATAAAAAAAGAAGTTGAAGTATACTTTTAGATGAATCAATCTCGTTTAAAAAAACAATTCCGAAAATGCAGCAGTTTGATTCAATTCAAAGAATTTGCTTAGTTTGAAATAGATATAAGCAATGAGTCCATAAGATTTAAATCTTTCGAAAACATACGAAGAAATGCAGCACCGGTAAGTTGACGGTCCGGCTTTTCTTGATCATTTTTTATTGCTGTACATAATTTAGTACCATATTCTAGCAGTGTCATCGCTTTGCAATTTGATCTCACACCACCACAAATTAAGCCACGCAGATTAGAGCCTACACATTTTCTACCGCCATTGTTAGGCCTTAAAGGCCCTTCAAAGTTAATGAAATAGAAAAAAGAAAAAAGAATCAATAAGGAAGAACTGAAATAAACGGGAAAAACTGAAAATTTCATATCTACATCTAATACTACTCAGCATTATCTGAGAAATTCAAAAAAATCATTATACCCTCTTGCTTTTACGATGCACGTTAGTTTCAAATGAATAATGTAAATAAGCAGATAAACAAGTCATCTTAAATAATTGCCGGAAACTAACGCAGGTTTGGTACATGTTCGCATCTGACTCTTAATTTGGATACTATTCGTTATTTGGCATTGACTGATCGGACATCGTTTTTCCTTACTATTCCATTCAGTCCAGCCACCATCTACCTTGGCTGGAGCTGTTCGTTGTGGCCATTGCCGACATTGCCCTTCAATGCAGAACTGCAATACCCAACAATCTCTATTGTATATACATATCATTGTTGAAAAACTGATAATGCATATCTATCGAGATGATCATCCATAGAGCAGGATTTAGCTATTTTTCATGTGCTGCATTTTAATAAAATTGAGATTGGGAGATGAAAGAAAACTATTTTCTTGCACTTTTAATTCGGCAATTTTGAAAATCGATCCTTTTACAACTAACTTATTGTTCATACTTAAATTAGTCAAAATTAGCACAATAGCCACCACCTTGTTACCACCACACCAACTTCCTTCTAACGCTGGATGAGCTGTTGATATTGTTGAGCCATCATTTCCACACCAAAGTATGCGACAAATATCCTGAAATAGTAAAGAAACAGCTTGAAGTGTAAAGTTTTGGGCTTCGCAGTTCAGAAAATAAATTCTTTATTTCCATTTTGAGCAGAATAAGGAAGGAATTTGTGCTATGAAACGATCCTGAGAGCAAGGATCGCTTTCGAAAGAAGGATAAGAAGTATTTCGAAACAATCTATATTTCCATCTCCATTAACTATGAAAATACAAGAAAAATCGAACATCCATTGTTTTTTCTTTCGGTATTTCAACTTCAAAACCTCTGCCCCAAAAATAAGAACACTGCTGGTCAGCTGTAAAGCGCTGTCCAGGTAAACGGCCATCCTTCATGTGATTATAAATCGCAAGTCCTTCTGATCCATCACGTAGGCAGTTACCGCGACCACTCGCACTGTAATCAAAACATCAATAATTAGCCAAGAATACGGTAAAAGAAAGATTAGACCTATAATAATATGATCACACAATTGCAATAACTTCCTTAATTGAACTTTCGAAGTTTTTTGGAGTAGAATTTAGGAAACCGTTGAGAAGTCAATAAATTCGCACTTACTCTAAGTGTAATAAGAATGCATTGAATTCACGCACTGAACATTCGCTCCAGGTGGTTTTGCCAGCGCCATTCACTGCTGACATTAGGCAACAATTTCGGCCACATTGATTCTGATTCCCATCGTGAACCATACCCATGCTGGAATGAAATGACCATTGCTTCTTGCAGAAGTATGTTGGAATCTTTGCTCTGAGCTTCCGTCCAGTTCCCTTTATTTCAATCTGGAACTTCCCAACATATCGGAAAAAATAGAAAAAAAAAATATTTCTTAAGAACCATGTTACAAACAAACTTATGTCCCATTTCATGAGCCAGAACAAATGATCGGCCAAGATGCATTCCCTCCACCAAACTGCATGAGAATATCTCATCACACATTCGTGCGACAGGTGCAACGCCTGCAACCGATGTCGTTGTATGATAGATGTCATACCTGTAACATATTCAGAGCTAATTTCGAAATTATTTCTAAATTATCTCTATTCTACCTTCTATAATATTTTTAATGTTAATTAAAAGAGTGCACTGAGGAGCTATCGACCGAGATATGTCAGCTTGCTTCATTGCAATTATTTTTAATTATCTTCAACATCTACTACTCTATAATGCGGTTAATAGCTGGCATCAACTTCCTGTTGATAAATTACTTGTGATCACAGAAGGAATTTATTCTGTTGAATGCATTTTATAATTCACCATAATTGAAATTTATGAAAGTAAATAAAATTTTGGAGGTTCACAATGTAAAAAGTTTGAATAATAATTTTTGCTAAGTGATCAAGTTAAGTGATCATTTCTCGATCAGAAAAAATATTCAAGAAAGGCGTATTCACTTAACGTACTTACGATGTTCCTCAAGATATAGTCCGAATGTACAGTGGGAATGATGAATAAAACATTTTCGAACAGATGCGGCAAGGAAAACTATTTAAGAGATCAAATAACTTAGTTAGGGAAATTCTTGTTACCTTTTCTGGACAAGATGCCCTTCATTTTTAGACAATTTTTAATAATTCAGTTTTCTGAAGATATGATTAATCATATGATTCAATTTTTTGATGTTAAAAAACAGGAGAAATCAAATAAGCTCACTCAACTACTATCCGAAAAACCTTACGAAAGATTGAGACAACAAACCCGGTAAGAAGAATGCCGTGATCCCAATGCTCTGGATCGGTCAGATCAGTCCCAGGATTAAGGGTTGCTTGATGGCGACAAAACAAATTCAACAATGTCTGTGCTTGTCCATTACGATGTGCTAACGTATCAAGTCCTGTCTAAAATGCCAAGTCCATTTATGATTGATTAAATTGTTTATTTAAACCAAAAAACAATTGAAATGATTTTTGTTAGTTACGTAATATGTTTCACACAAGCTTCAAATTATAGTTCTATGAGGGAAAATTGATTAGATTGTATAAGTATCATGGAAAAACTTTATTTCCTGGAAGTCAACAACGCTTAACTAATTTAAACATAACATATTTTGAATATGTTCTATCGACTGAAGTTGAGTAAGGATGTTAATTTTATAACTTCAAATTTCATTAATTTCAAACAAAAAATAAAAGAGTACCGGTTGTTTTTTCCACAATTCAAATCGTACAATAACAATATCCAGATTTGGAGTCATCGATGATTGTTGATAAAGGACATGAACACTGTTGATCAGAGCAAGAGAGAAATCCACCAAATGTTGCTCCGAATCACCGATGTATTCACGTTGGAAATGCTCATAGAGTTTGGAATCCAGAAAAAGTCCAATTTCCAAGGTTATCGGATCCAATTGTGGGAAAATGAAAAGGGAGTCGAGATTACCCTCTGCGGGTATCGTATAATTGAACGTTAATCCTTCGGCTGTAAATTTCCATTTACTGTTTCATTTTTTGTTCAACAGACGCATAACTTTCTCATAAAAATGCAAGCGACGTAATGGAAAGTTATCTACAACGAGCTCAAATAAACAGAAAAGCTAATTCAAATTACAATAGCATTGCGTCGTCACTCATTACAATGCAGACACAGCGCATGACAATCAGATTTCAAACTTCAAAATATCAAAAAAATCGCTTAGCTTAGTAGCGGTAGCAAATGCTGATACCATGTGAAGAGTTATTCATTTCTTGCCGACAGCACTTCGGTACAAGGCTGTATCTACTATTTCACTGTCAACTATCAACAACATATGTAGGCTTAAGTTTTAAAATTTATGCTTATCAAAATTAATTCAATTTTTTTGCGGGGACTTCTATCGATCAAGCTTTTTCTTAGGAAAGAAGCACAAACAGTTTCTTTTGCTATCTAGTTTTGAACCAATTTCTTGATTTCAATCAAATTCCAAAGAAATAAATTTCGAGAATTCTGCTTTTATACAGCAGCCGCCTTATTTTGCTATTCGTTTGGAATGCAAAAAAATGGTCCCTTTTGAGCGTTAGAAGAAGCACAGACACCGATCATCCACGTCTGTAGCTCGTACATCAGAAATAACTGGACGTCTACGAAAAGGTTAAAATTTCAAGTGAATAACTCGCTTAGATGGCCGATGATGATTCTGCTGAGATGAACAATATTCAAAATAATTAATGAGATAAAGAAAAATAGAGAAATGAAAACTATCACAAAGTGGTTAGCAAGAGAATGCATGCATGCATGTAACCGATATTTAGTGATCTTGTTGTGATATTCGATATCATAACAGAAAATTCGATTGATGTTTGAATTGGAAGCATTTAGCACGAAGCTTGTAAGCGAACCTGCAGCAGCTCTGTTTGCAATAACAGCAGTAGCAGCAGCCTTATCGAGCATGCCAATTGCATCATCAACCGACTTACTGATATCACAAAATTCATCTTCGGTTGACTGTTCGTTTAGCTTTGATAACTGTTCCTTCAGTGTATATTCCAAATTAGAAAGCTGTTCAACTTCGCGTTTATATATGATGTGGCGCTGTTTGACCTTAAATGATTCATCTAAGCTTTCTTTTCACTTATGCCTAAACCAAGCTATAGGAGTGATTGATAGTTTTTCGTGCCTCATTTGCACGAAAATGTAACATATACCAGCTACAGTAGAAGATTACAGAGATTGCAAAGTTTTAATAAACTGTTGCAAGATAGTTGCTGTTGACATGGATAGTGTGACATACCTGATGGACGTATCTAAGTCGTTCCGGAACTGTTTGCAATAAGAGGAAATGATCGTCCATGATAATAGCACCTGTCAAATAGTCGCAGTAAGATATCGCAGCTGAAACGTTATTGTGTGATAGCACTTTCCCGTGGAAGTGACAGTCTGCTTTCAGGTGAACCGGTAATCCTCGACTTTTCGAGCTTTTTTTGCCGTCACGCACCACTGAGATCTGAAATTGTCTTCAATAAAGCCACAATTGAGCTGATCTACAGCGCCAATCTTTTTCATTTATTAGTAAAACTTTGAAGTGGCGGAATTAATTCAGTTCTTTTGAACTTAATTAAACATACATATGTGAATAATCACAAACAGAAGTATTCGGAAAGTAAGTGTTTGGTCTAATCTATCATTTTTATTAAGCTTTTTGATATTCAAATAAGTTTTTCGAAATTCTTTCCTTCTTTTACTTTAGCAGAAACCATATTCATCAATCAAGATATTTCGTTCATTTTGCTGTTTACTTCCTTCTATCGGTAATATCGAAATAACTTTATAATATGAAATTTTTATATAATTTGTAAAATTTATGTTATAGAAATGTTTTCGTCATAAATAGTCTCAGTGAAATGATATACTTTGTTTGATATCTCAATTCATTATTATAATGAGTATTTAAAATGATTAACATCAAATAGCTCCCATTTACTATCGGTTTCATCTATTATATGTTCAAGCAATTCTTTATTAAAAATTAGTTCCATTATCTATTTACTAATAAACGATGCCAGGTGATTCTTTATTCATCATTTATTTCTTTATTCATCATTTAATGAAAAAAAATATACAAAATGTTATGCTACTATCTTCTTATATTTCTCTTCTGATCGAGAAAGATGGAATCGAAGAACTTCCTGTCCTTAACAAAAAGGCCTCTTTACCTTCATTGTGAGTAGGGTCATCTTCTCTTATTTCTCTTTACTTCCGTGAAGACACCTCAAAATGTCTCCTCTATCTCTAATATGCCTTTATGGCTGGCAAATTCTCATTACAAGTATTATTCGTGATATTTGTCATTCACTTCTGCAATGAAAAAAAGTCCTTCAATAAGGACAAAAGAGTAAAACAGAAGGCAAATTACACGCCAGGTGAGACGTGCTACTGTACAACGCGGAATTCTATCACCTGGCGATTATGCCACAACTAACTGACTAACAGACTTGAAATAAATCGCAAAAATTCTTGTCAAACAATAACACGTCCAAAGAAGGAACATTCAAAAAAGCTTTCAAGCGTTCATTGATTTATATATCGACACCAGGAGAAGTATCACATGGTATTGCCATTATAGTTATTTCGATCATTTAATAAATCACTAAACAAAAGACGGACTGTAGTTCATAGAACTCAGAAAACGACCCGACGCAAAAGAGCTCCAAGACGAATAGTTAAGGTAGCAAGCAATCACTGAGTACTTTTAAGACAACTTACCAAGTGAGGGCTGAGTAGTTTGAGGTTAGGTTTGAGATCAACGTGGAATTTTTGATCCCAAGCATCGAATAATAAATAGGTGGTTCCGTCACTGTGTTGCTTCTTGTTTACGTCGATCAGCTCGTATTCCGGTACATCTTTGTGATGGAATACTGCGAAAATTCGCCGCAGTTCTTGTTTGGTTAAGCGATGATGAAAATTCTGCAAATGAAAGCATCCATTAGAGAAAATTTTGTATGCTTTCGATGAATAAAACTGAAAAGTGCACTCTTTTATACCATTTTATGATAGCGTTTAATTATTTTGATCAATAAATTGAAGAAATTATTGATAAAAGCAAAATTATGATTGTGAGGGATACAAATTAGGGATTGATCTATTCTCTTTTCGTTTTTTGAGGATAAAGGAAAACAAAAGTTTTCCCTCATTGATTTCCAACAAGTATATATTTAATAAGCAGTGAATGAATAACTTATTGAATTTGATTCTTTGTTTCACAATCAGTCACCAAAGTGCTCATTTCTCAGATTTCTATTGAAAGATCACAGGTTTTCAATGCCAAACACATATGCTTGAGGCTTACCTGGACAGAACTGATGAATGAAGAAAAAAGTAAAAGGATGGCGGGGTTCCTGCATATGAAGCTGTTCATCCGTGAGCAACGACTATATCACTTCAAAATGCCGATCATTCGTAGTAAATCATTCACTATAAGCCTTCAGGATCAAATTGCAGATGCAGAACCCAAATAGGACTGATACGTCTCCAATAAAAAATTTGTGATTGTCGTCAAGTTCCACTAACAGCAAATACATCCACCATTGGCTCTTTCAATTCAAACAACGAAAGCCGTATCAGTTAGTGACAAGAATAGAACAAGCATAGGGACAAACAGTGAGGGTAGATTTACTTGATTCAGAAAGAGAGATGATTGTCTGAGTGAGATCTAGAAAACCTGATGAGCCGTAATAGCTATCGCTCCAATCATCAACGTCATCATTATCATCATCATTATGAGCGCTCGTGTTATAGTCTGGACAACTTTCGATCACTTCAGCTCAGGAGATGATATCTGTCATTGTCACCCGTGGTATGCCGACTACTGGTCATTCAGTTTCACGTTTCGTTTTCATCTATTTTTCAACACTTCTAATATGTAACTGATATTTATCTCCTTCTATCACTTTTCTTTTCGAATGTAAAATGAGCGAGATGGGAAAAGCGATAGAGAAGAAAATGGCAGGTGCGGATCTTCCGTAAAGATGACTGATTGGGTTTTAATGTTATTTTGTGATCCCTGTAGAAGAGAGAAGAGTGATGGATTTATCCATTTTATTCTGTTTGCTTGTAAAATAGGTTAAACAATGTACACTCACCACATCAATGGAATTGACAATTGTATTGCTATTCCTGCTCTTGCTATTATTCCAAATGTGTATGTTTCGAAACTTCGTTATTCATTCCATTTTTAATTTAATTTTATCAAACTAATATCCCCATCCAAATACGCTCAATTCAATCACTTTCATACTCTCTCTTCCTTTTCCAATTTTCATATCAAGTTTTCGGCTTAGGATTCGGCGTACAATTTATAAGATATCTTTTAAAAATACAGGTTTTCATTCTTTTGTTGAATGACATTGATTTGAAAGTATTTGAAATAGAATGCTTTTATGATTGCTCCGCTTTTGTTTAAAATTGAGAAATGAATGGATATTTAAAGAGAACAATTTGATTTAGTTTCGGTGATTCAATCTTCATGAGATCCATCTTTGTGTTATACTGAAATAAATTCAACAAGACAAGTAACATCCCGATGAGCAATCCATCGTATTTAGCAACTAATTTCGCTAAATTAAAATACGCTTATTCTGAACTCATTAGCAAAAGCAAAGATAAACCGGGTGGATGCATGAGAGCTACCGATGGAGTTCACCTCATAATTGTAAGTTAGCAAAAAAATTCGGAAACAGTAGCTATTTCGGAAACGGTAACTATGAGCATGACAGTAATGGGACCAGAAAGGAATAGATATGATTTCCCTCCTCCAATATTTCTGTCTTCCACTGCAGTTTTTTTTCAGGTAGGTAACAATTTGAAACTCAGTAAGCGCATTTCTTATCTGATCGAAAAACAATACAAGTTGAGAGAGAATATAGTTAATTCTTGAAATGGAGCAAAAATGACTGCAACTATGTTGCTGCAGTGAGCAAAAGGCAGGTATGAAACGTGACACCGAAATATAAATAATATCTTTCACAAAGAGTTTTAGCTCTTTCTTTCTTAAAGAATACATAAACTATAAAATGAACTCATCAAATGATCCAAAAAGCGAAGTGATAGGAGTAAGTTAGGACCAAATGAATTGATATGAATTTCATAGACGTGAATTTTAAAGATCAGTTAAAAATCAATTGAAGGTATTTAATACATTGTTATTGTCATCTTACTGATAGTGATAACAATGCATTGAAATTATTGGAAGTTTTTCATTTTAAAAACTGACAAATTGGAATTTTCTTCAATTTCCTACATCAAAATTTCTTTTTCAACCAGTTTCAACTGAAACTAATCAAGGCAAAATACGTATCGGTTAAAAATACTTTCAGAAAGCGCTGACATGTTTCTCACAAACCATTTGAAATCATAAAAAATGGGATGAAAAAGCTCCAACAATAAATAATATGACTTAGTAAATAAGATGTAATGAGGAAATAATTGTGAAGTTTGAAAAAAACCACTATTTCAGTACGAGGACCGTAATATATTTCCGGAAAGAGAACCAGTAAGCGGATAGTAATTTACATTGCAGATTAAATTTCTCTTCCACATTTGAAGCTTCTATTAAAGTTTAGAAAAATTTAATCTAAAACTTTCTTCTTTCATTTGTTTATTTTCCCATAAAGCATTGAGAGCCTACTTTGATGTAAGAACAGTATTATGATTTTCAAATATTGTTAATCAATTGATGGCGTATCTGTCAAAGCTCGAAGTATAGATCGCAATTCAATTATCTCGGCTACATTTCTACGAACTTTGCTTTTTTTTAACAAAGTATATTAAGAAGAAATGAAGCACAAATGTAAGCAATGAAATCTTGAAAATATCCAGAAAAATGTTCAAAAATTTCTAAACGAAGCTTGAAATTGAAAATGAATGGAAATAAAACAGGTTTTACAAAATGAAAGTCGCAAAAAGCGATACTAACAATTCATTTCTGTTTTCTAATGGGATTTTCACACTGCTAAATTTCTTCTTACACCACTGAAAATCTCTTCAAACTAAAAATGAAAGATATATATATAGTAGAATCTTTACTGAACAGATGTTTTTGTTTCAAATTTTAGTTTCAGATGTTTTTGTTATCTAAGCGAAATCATAATTTTTCTGTTTCACTCATTTGAAAGCATTCTCATTCCACATGTATTCTCAACATTAAATTTGAGCTTTTACAGAAACTGGCAATAATATTATCGCAAATTTCATAATCAGCAAACGATTTGATTTAAGCAGAAAAACGTTGCCTCCGAAATAGATATATAAATGCACGTTCTATAAGAGAATGAAATTCGGAAATTCAAAAGGAGAAATAAAATTAAAAGAAAAATTAGAAAATAATTTGCAGGTTTGCGGATTGCGCTTCATGTCGCTTGTTAACTTGAAAAACAATTTATTGCGGATGAGAAATGCATATATTATCATCTTTATTTGTTGTTGATACTTGAAAAGAATGAAGTTTAAATAAGGAATCTTTGGTATTTTAGTCATAAAATAAGTGTTCAACAGAGAGCAGAAACGGAACGGAAAGCATTCGATTTGGTGAATATTGAATGGAATCATTTTAGTCTCTTCATTCCATTATAAAATTTAAGGGATCAGAAAAGATGGGAAACTGAATATATACTAAATATTAGATACTGAATATTTTTGAAAAGTTTATTCAAAGGTTATTTGTTACTTGGAATTTGCAAAACTTCACTGATTTTTCTAAAAAATTTCGCTTATTCATTTATCCCAATTTCTTTTCTATTCTATTATCAATACGAAATAGCAGTTGGAAAGAAGATATCACTGATTTTTTTGCATCCAAAATAATGTTCAATTCCGGAACTTGTAGGATCAAGCAACCGCAATGGATAAGAATTCTGGCATTTAATAATCTACTGTAACTCGCCTATCGAATAACTCTTGTCATCTTTGACCTCAGAAGACATAAGACTTAGAATCGGTTCAGCATTCTTAAAATCACCGTTGAAATTTTAATATTTTCTCAAGTTCGAAATTAATTTGCAAATTCGAAGCAGACAAGTACGTTGGATTGGAAGCAGAACATATTGTTAGAATAAAATAACCTCTTTAGTGATCATAAAACATCATCAAAAACATCATGTGAATGCCCAGCGAAAAAGATATTTTACATTCCGCATTTCATCGGTAGGGAGAGCATAAACGGTAAATTGGGTCGATGATAATGCTTGTAGAGATAAGTCATTTCCTGGCACCGATAGATGGATTAGCCGTAACCATCCAATTCCTCTTCAAGACTTCTACAAATTCTACTAGTAGTATCACACATTTTGTAATACTAATATCTACAGTCCGAATCTACTCTTCAATTCTTACAGTTTTATGCTAAATTAAAGCTCATATAAGCAACATTTAAAAGTGTGAAAAATGAACTTTTCAAAATATCTTATCATTTTGTGATTACAGATCATCATCAATTCATCTTTCCCTTAATAAACATTTATATATATATATAGACATGTTTCTATAGATAAATATTTTTAAATATTTTAAAAGCATAATTATGCAATTTTTGTGAGGTTTAATAAATGTTGAGACGTTATATCGTGAAAATATTTAAGATTAAAAAAATGAATAATTGCTCTTACATTAACCAGAATTTTGCATTAATTTTTCGTTACGCCACTAACTTCTCTTCTAATTATTACTAACACAACACTATATGGTAAATTAACTATCATTCCACGTCGATGAAATAAAATGAGTGGTAGTTATTTGGTAACAAAATTGAGGTCTCACACATTTCACTCACTTTCTGCCTCAATTTTCTCTCCCGTCATAGTCATACAACAGTTGTATCAACACTACGATGACACATTTCCAATTATTCGAACTTACATTTTGTGCAACATGAAATATAATAGGGGAAAGTTTCATATATTTACAGTAGCTTTGTCAAGAAGTACGCTCAATGTAATATGCTTAGTTCATTCATTCAGCTTCGCTGCAGCCCCACCCTTAAATTAAAAGAAGATTTCCGATGTCTTGGAATGAACTGCAGTCTTCCTTCTTATCCACATGCTTGAATAAAGAAGGAGTTTGTTTTCATTCATATGGCAGTGCTTTGAAAGGTTTGCAATGTGCATGCTGCTCTCATTCCATCCATTATCACCAATTCACATTTCCGCGTGTTCTTATTTCACATTTACTACTGGAGCATAAAAACCTGCAATGCTCAAATTTGTGAATTCAAATAGCTATTACTATTTTTCTGCACTGCTACGATCAAATAGATAATGATGTGTTTTTTCTGATTCACCGTATTAGCCCGAAATTGGGCACCGATTCTAAATCATCAAAAACTGAATTCAAATAGGCTATTAAAGTAAATACGCGTTGTTATTAGACCGTGGCCGATCACACTTTGCAATTATTCTATTTGATGAAATTTTGAAATCATTGTGCCGTGATCGTTCGTTCTCTACTAAGCAAAATGCTATCACTAATAATTTTAAATAGTGAAAAGTTTAATTAAGTTAGATAGTATATTTAGCGGAGAACATCTGAATCAATTCCAGGAAGTAAAACTGTGATTTGAAAATACACTAAAATTGCATTTTCATTATGAGCCTAATTTAAAATGAAGATCTGTCAGTTGTAGTGTAATGAGAATTCATAGCCTTTGGCAAGTTGATGAAGCCTATAAGCCTTCATTCATATTTACATAAAATACTATTAAAAAACTTTCTATTGCAAGAATTAAAAACAAAAACACATTGTAGACAAATGGAGCAATTAAATAAATATAAAAAGCCTAAGTTCATCTTCTCACAAACCCAAAGTGACGACGTATTATGCAACGCTAATTATTGCAAAAGTGACTTATTCAACAAAATTTACATATAATAACACTTGGATTTAAGAAACATACAATTTCGATTGTTCAAATGTACATTAAAAGAATTCTCTAATAATCCCATGAATACTACTAATATGCTTGAGTTCTTAATTAAATACTGATATGTAAATAAATTAACCATCTGTGAAGGTGCGATAAGCTTCTGCTAATAATAATTCTATATGTTGAAGAAAAAAAATAGAAAGTATTATTCACTAGTCGTCCTAAATGGTTAACCACTTAATTAATAATTTGAGTATAAGGGAGGATGGATCTGACAATGTGTTTGGTATATGCATCTTATTAAAATCAAAAGCATGAGATAATGGTATAGCAAATGAATTAAACCGATTTAGCAGCCATAGAGTCTCAAACGATAATCGGAAATAAATTTTGTGCGATTTTCTTTTCCATCTTTCATTTCTCCATTTGGATTTTTTAGCACAATTTGATACTTAAATTTGAGCCAACTTTTTGTCATCGATTCTTTTTTTTGCCAAAACTCTTTTCAAACAATTTGAAAAAGCAACACTCGATGATTCACAATTCCCAGAAGCCATCAGTTGAACTTTTCATTAAACATTAGCTTAGTCGTTCTTGCAACAAATTTCGGTGCATTTTTCCAACGTTTCGAAATTATTCAACGTACCACCACATCCTGTATAATTGAGAGAAATCATTCTAAGACAAATTTAAAACATTTTATATTTCATCTCACGGCAATAACTAAAACCAAAATGGCGACACTGGACTTGATTTCAGTTTATGCCACCACCAGCATAGCTTACCAAACTACTGCTGCTATTAGGGTTAAGAAAGTAAAGCACCTCCATATTGATAATAAACACAATCATCCAATTCTGGATCGTATCCATATCGCGTTTCGAATTCCTTACATTGTCGCCCTGCATCCATTGGTTGCAAACAGAAATTTGCAGGATCCTATAGAAACTGCGAAACTTGGTAGGATACGGAGGTTAAATTAACCACTACATTTCGGCATAAAATTAAGACTCAAAATTCTTTATCTTGACCGAAAAGAGAAGTACTTAGAAGAAGACTTTACCAGATATTTCTGATAAAGTATTTCTTTTTTTAAAATTATTTCATTTAAAGAAAGAATTTCTTTTTTAAAATCCTTTAAAGAAAGAACTTCTTTTTTAAAATTATTTCCTTTAAAGAAAGAATTTCAAGATACCTGGCAACATGCAGTAGTATTTTTTTCAACATTTATGTTGCATATGAATCCTAACGGACATGCATCATCCACTCCACACTTGGCCAGAGTTTTTCCAGATGCTTCCATAAGTGGATCACCATGAGGGCAATAATCCTCTTTTTCTGAATACGATTGAATTCTGAGATAGTAGTCAGATTCTAACTCTCTTTTTCTATTTAAAAGAATTTTGCTTGTTAAATGCTGTAAAAACATACTATGGTGAAAGTGCTTCATATCCGATATCAATGTTTTCAGGTCAGATTTCGGCTTGTTTCAAAGTTTTTTTTATCTCTGTCATAATTTAAAAAAAAAAAAACCTCTGCAAGAAATTTCACAACTATTCCTTGAAAGGAAATTATTTTCATTGCCACCCAAACCACCATAAATAAATTCCAAGCACTTTTTACTGCTCGCATCATAAAACCACCGTGGAAGCTCTTCACCGCCATACCCAATTGATAGTGGTTGTTCACATAAATTCTTGCCTGAAATAGTTTTCAAAAATGTCAAATGATCATATGTCTTCTTCCTTCTTCCTTTCAGTTCCAATTCTCATCAGGAAAGTAGTCTGAATAAATTATCTTTTTTTAGAAAATTCCGGAGAAAGAGTTTGGATTTTACATCAAAATCATTTCAAAAAAAAGCTTGCCTTGACGAGGACAGCATTGCATTCTTAGAGGTGATGACCCCTTATGACAAAAGTAATCGTTTGGGCATTCATCTGATATACTTGATTTGCAAAAAATTCGCCTTCCGTCTTGGTCTGTTAGCGGTGTTCCGCTTCCGCATGGATTCATCTCTAGAATAACTATGTAATACGAAATATAACATTCGGACATTTTCATATTTTCAATCATAAATGGTTCCAAAGGAATCATCAAGTTCTGTTTATTTCAGACTGTTACAAAAATCCTAACGTGCGAAAAGAATATTGTGAATATAGCACAAATATTAGTGAGCGATGGAGAAGAAAATTTAATAAAGCAGAATTTTTTTGCCTTAAAGTTGTAAAATTTTAAACCTTCGCAAATCTGTTGACAGCTCTCTCGTGTGATAAAATTGTTGGCATTGCCATAAAGACCGCGATAAACAAACTGATGACACATTTGTTGTTCCTGATCAAAATACCATCTCTGCAGCTGTTTCGCACCTTTCCCAACTTCTAATGACAATTTACATATATCGTTAGCTGCAATATTAAATTAGCTAATGATGGCAACATAACTGTAGATAACGATTTCAAGATAAGATAATGAAAAGATATGAATTCTAAGCTTTTGCGACATAATCTACTGACTTTGAAAATAATCAGTTTCATCCCATTATCGTTTCTTTATTAAAAAGATTAATCAAATTTCACAAATGTTAAAATTTTTGCTGATAATGAGTGCCATTCTAAACAAATATTAATTACTTTAATGAAAAAATAAGGACAAACATCCTGGACAACAGTTTGTCGTCTCTGGAGAACTTCCAATATGACAATAATAATTATCGGGACAGTCTTCACTACCACCGCAAATTATGGGTTCGTTTTGAGCATTCTTAAGTGGTCTACCATATGCACATGGATTTGGCACTGCTGCAAATATTATTAGATAATAAAGTTTTCTGCACAGGTAAGCTATGATAAAATGTGACATTTTTTTGCCAAAATGACAAATCTTTGGGGGAACATATTCTGCCGAATAATCGAAAATTTTATTGATGCTACCGGAAAGGCTGATAGTCGTAAAGAACAGAGATTTTAAAGAACTTCTTGATTCCTACGAATCTGATACTTACTGGGACACGTTGCTTCACAATCTTCTTCGCTCAAGAAATTATTCGCATTTCCTCTTGAGCCAAGATAAACAAATCCATGACATCGATGGGAATCCTTATCGTAATAATACCTTAAAAGCAAAGACTTTCCTTCTCCTTGATTCACCGGTTGATCACATGGATTCCCATCTGCAATGAATTATTTGACTTATCCGATACAATCTTAAACAAAAAATGATCAATCACACTGCGCATCATTATATCTTATTCTTATAATATCTTATAGCATCATTGTATCTTATCCATAATTTCCACATTTTGGCATTCCCTTATTTTGTGGTAATCTCATCAATCTCTGCAATTTCTTCATGCCAAGCACGTTATGTCTTTATCATTGCTATTGTTGCGCCTCCACTCTTTCATGAACAGCATTGTCATGTGCCATTTTAGCATATCTTGAAATTTAATGTTATTTCAGTTCTAGTATCTAATTACCCATCCTAATATTTTATTTCTACATTTCATCCTTATTTTTCCCACCAAACAAAGAAGTGCAGGCTCGGAAGAAGGACTATTTTGATCTGTCTTCTACATACTTCCATGCGAGGTTAACTGTTCAAATGAAATTTGTGACGAAATTATGTTGGAGGATACGGCTTCTGAAGAGGATATACATACTTTTACGACAACAGAAGTTCTGTGTTCCATCCGCTCCAATGTGACAATAGTATTCATGGGGGCAAAGCTCTTCCGGACTACATCTTTTTGGTTTACTATCCTTCAGAAGCGGTTCCCCACTATCGCATGGATTCTCATATGTAGGACATGCATCGCTGCAGTCACCTTCTGTCAAGAAAGAATTCTGCAAGTGTTTTCGTTCAATAAAAAACACATTGATAGGTTATGCCAAATATTTAAGTGAAAAAAGATGGAAGCAAGGAATTAATTATCACTTCTAAATTACGTATCCATTTCTTAAATCACAAATCAAATTGCCAAGTTTATTATAAATTAAAACGTCATGCGCGATGTTACAGAATGATTTTGTTGCGGGGACAGCCTAGTTTTGTCTAAGTAAAATGCGTCAGTAAGATTGGATCAATTAAGCGAAGTAAACAAAGTTCGTCACTAAAATTATTCAAGAATAATAAAAGAGTTTGATGAGATTCGTTAGTTAATTAATTCTTTTTCAGTCACGTATCGTATTATAAACAGCCAAAAATAGATTGAAATATATTTAATGCAGGGAATTTTCTCGAGCTCTCTGATCTCTGACTTATTTTCTGAATATAAATTCTTCAATATTCAGCAACATTTCTCGAAACCAACTTGATTTCCTTCTTTTCCTCGATAATAAAATGTAATGCACTTGTGTAAGGTCTGTTCAAAATACCATCTCAGTAAACTACTGTTTCCGGTGCCTTCGACCACAGGTTGCTGACAACGGTTTATACCTTAAAATGAGAGATAATTCTCTTGCATCTTATTCATTTTAGCTATAAATGTTAAATCAAATCAATAATACAGATGAATTTTCTTAAATTTATGCAATCACGAAACTTACCACTTTCTGGACAACAAACGGTGGTATCAGTGTGTGCACCTATATGACACCAATAATTACGTGGACAAATGTTCGTTGAAGAGCAAAAAAATGGCATATCTCGTGACGTTAGAAGCATTATTCCAGTACCGCAGGGATCTTCGCAGTTCTCTAACAAGAAATTGTAGTCAGTGACAGTTGCAAATTATTCAAAACTATCATATGAAAAGTGAAGAATTTTTTACATTATCTGCATATTTAATTTCCCACCAATGCATTGAAGAAAATGGAACGTACGTTTGCACTGTTCCTCGCAGTCTTCCTTAGTGAGAAAATTATTTTGATTTCCTTTTAATCCTTTATAGATGAACATTTTGCACTGCGAAGTGCAGGAGCGATCGTTCCGATCCGCAAACCATCGAGCGATTGTTTCATTTCCTTCGCCCTGTGAAACAGGTAGTTCACAAGGACTAATCGATTCTGGAATTTTTCAAATTATTGTAGGATTTTCAAGACAAAAAAAAAAATAATCTGAAACTGCTGTTGAAATATATTCATTTAACTCAAATAGGCTCTCTGTTGTTTTAAACAGAATACCAACCAAAAGTGGGATTTATCAAATCGATTTATCAAATAGCTTCATCCGACTGGTATCTATATTTATTTCCTTACCTTTTCCAAAGAAAAGGAAATGAAGAAAAAACGAATTTGACAAACTTCCAGCGCAACATAACGACGAATAAGTACTGGTGCCAATGTGACACCATTGCTCGTCACCACACTCACGACGTTTTATTGAACATCTGCGACGCTCGGAAACTTTCGGTGCTACTTCACAAACCAAATCCCATCCTGAAATTGAAGAAAAGATGCGTGGATAATCGGAAAGAACTTCGATCTTCCTACATCATTGACGTTTATTATTTTCTATTAACTATTTGACGTTTACTATTAACTATTTTGGCGTTTATTATTTCCCTTTACAAATTTTGCCCTGAAATTCACATTGAGGAAAAGCTTATATTATTAATGATTTCCGCAGGGTTTACCTCTCTATCACTGTGCTAATCATTACGAAAACGAAAAAACATTACGAAAACGGCAATGGTGATGAACGTATCCGATATAGATTAATTTGATATGAAATACTTACGCATGCATCTGTACTTGCATTCTTCATAAGTGCGGAAATTATTTTCATTGCCTTTAACTCCACGATAAATAAATTGCTGGCATTTGCCGGAGTTATCGTTGTAGTAGTACCGTTTTAATCGCGCATTACCTTTGCCTTCGTCCGCTGGTAAACTACAGGGATCTGCTACTGGAATTTGTGTTTCGTGAGATTTTGGTCAATCAACTTAGGTCAATTATCATCCTTTCCACTTTGTTAAAGTCACACATACATCTTCATATAAGTTCGTTAATATTATTGGTCACTCACTACATGCTATCATCATTTATGTATTTTCGTCAACCGCACAGATTTTCTATGCCACTCTTCCTAGATCGAAAGAATCTGAGGTACATATCTCCAAGCTATATAATTAATTGAGAAAATAAACTCACGTCCAGATCTTTTACAGCAAGCTGTTTCCGCCTGAGAAGCTCCAATATGGCAAAAAAATCCCTTAGGGCATGCCAATAAATTTAGCGAACTGCATAGCAATTGCTCCTGGTCGAAACCCTTCGCTGGTCTACCATATTTACATGGATTTGCACCTTCTTCATGACCTATAAAACTTAGCTTTTAAGTTTTACTATTTATTGGTGAAATTATTTAAAATTTTCAAATCATGTATTACCTCATGTCTCGAGCGCTAACTTTTTCATTTACTTCCAATTAAAAAAATTTGCTAACAGTTACCATTGGCGCAAGTTTTCAAACATTCTGATTATGTGATAAAATTATTTGCATTTCTACGAATCCTTCTCCAATGTTCATTTAATGTGATCTTATTGAATTTTACAGGTAGCAAAAATTAAAGAATATTCTTTCAATATGTTTTTTTATCTAAACTCTGATTGAAATAACATTACCAACCAGCCTGTTTCTCTCGCCTCTGTGTGAATTGTTTCTCAACTGTTACATCGAAAGATGAAGAGTTTGATTCTGTATGTGTAGACGATGGAGTAAAAAGAGTAGTTTCTATGATATGAGTAATCCCTGGAACTATAGTAGTGGGGGTAGTGGTGATAGTTGTTGCGATAGTAACAGTGGAGATGGTAGTGATTGTGCCGGTAGTTATTTCTGATGATAGTGTAGTGGTTGATGTAGCTGATGGGAGAGTTGATGAAGTCGTTGTTGTTGTCAGATCATTGATATACTTCGTCCTGATTATCAAGCTGCGAGTTATTACTGCTGATGGTGATGCGGTCGGTGGCAGATCTGGAAAAATTTTGATAATCATAACAAGATCTGGAAAAAAATTTTTTGGATAAAGTAAACCGGCGAATCATAGCTAAGAGACAAAAGAATTCAGCAAACCGATGAATTCTTCAATTAAAGATCTCTTTTAATCGAGATTTCTAATAAAATGAAATTCTTATAGACTGTACTATTCTGTTGGGGTCGATATCTCTCTTGACATAAATGATAAATGTTGAAGCATCCTGTTTGAATCACGATATGCTGCGAAGAAATTGATGAACCATACGACATTATGGTGGCATATGCGAAAAGCAGCGTATACCAAAAAGAATGCAGCATACCTTAAATTAAATATGATGCATGATAGCCTAGTCCAATTGACTTAGTTTTCCTAGACTTTCTTATTTCTCTTCCTGTACGCTCTAACTTCAGCATAAATTCTAGTAACATGCTTAATACAGGAATGATACAGACATTTATGAATTAATAAAATAAGATTCTTTGCAAAATATTACAGCACTTGATCTATCTAATGAGCTGATTATGGTTCAACAGTGTCAGAGATTAATGATTCTTCATTGTTTATAAACTTTTTATATTGGAAACTTTTATGCCGGAACGAATCTTCAAAGACTTAAATCGAAATGGGTCAAAATTAAAACTGGTAAATACTCATTAAATTATTTGAAACAAGCAGCAGTGCTGATGAAGGCTAAGCTTAAGAAGGATTCAAGATAGATTGATTTCTCAGTACTATTTAAATGACCGGCTAAATGTGCAAGTGGTCAGAGTATGAAAATGCGGAAGCCATCCTTTTTTCTTCTTAACCAAAACTCACTTCTGTGTACAAATAATGACTTTTCAATATTTACTTTTCCGTATAGTCATCTCTTCTTGCAGTTCATTTCACCCATTCCTTCCTGACACCACTTCCTTCCTTCTCAGTAAATTAATAGCAGAAAAGTCCGATCTGAAAAAATTTTTCCTGTGATCCGTAATCCATATTCAAATCCAATCTTTTTCCTCGACAAAACTACTCTTTCGATATTTTCACAGTTACCCACCTGTCATCCACCATAATATTCCCTCCTCACTCATCTTTTACAAGCACAAACACAACTGCGGGAAAGACGATGACGAATGGACAAGTGACTCATTGAAAAAGCACTTCACTTCCTGGCATGGCGTGTCGAAAAAATTACTTCCGCTTTGAAATATTTGAGAGCTTTACAATGAGGATATTTTACTTTTCCAATACAGCAACCATGACAATTCCGCGTTCTATTAAAAAAAAGTTGAATCACAGAAATAGATAAACATTATTGATATTATATTAAATTTGATTGGTTAATTAGTTTTGCGAATAGATAATTTTCTTTGCAAAGAGTGATGCAAATCCTTTCAACGTATCATCACGCTGAAAAACCGAAATAAATTTGGCATAAATATATAGAAAATCTTACAATGACTCATTACTTGCAATAAACATTAAACTAATTATAATTATACGATATTTGACCCTATTCTTGCATCTTCCAATGTAATCAATAATTTACTGAGTTCATTTTGTTATCCGTTATATTTACCAGCTTAGTAGTGTAGCCTTTAATCTTGTCATTATTATGTTCCTCTACAGACAGTTAAGTTCAATATTGCTATAGTTTTTGTCATATGATACTTCTTGTTTATTCATTTTATGTACAATTCAGCCAATAATTATTATCAGATGATTCATAATCCCGTGTTCATCCCCTATTAGATGATAACAATTGTTAACTTTACTATAAACAATGCTTACCGAAAACCGCCCAACTTGAAGGGAACATAAAGCGTCTTAATTAGTGCCATAGGTTAGTCTCATAATTTGAAGGTCTTGAATTAGCCGCCTTCTTTAATATTTCTGATATTGTCGAATAACATTAATCAACTAAAACCTTTCTCTTAACAAAATAAAGTTTGATTGCAACCACATTCTTTTTTTGCAAATTGCTCAAATTAAATCCTTTTTTCACGACAATGTGGGAAACATTTTTTCAATTTTCATGCTTGCTGTGCAAGACTTTAATTCAAATAATTCTTTATTGTACCACAAAATATTCACAGAGATATAGTCGTCAACGTACTTTTCACTTCACTAAATGACAAATAATTCTGTCAACTAATATTTTATGTAGCCTATGCATGATGAGGTAGGCCGTGCACAAAAGTGTGTGAAGATTTAAGTAGGAAATTGATGTGGATGAAACAGTTCTGTAACAGACATTTCTTTTCATGTACCAGTCATTTCTTATAAAAAACTTAAAGAGTGAAACTTTACACAACATTCTTATTGAAAACTAAAAAACGATTAAAATTAATTCACTGATTTATCATCGATCTTTTTCTTTGCTAAAGCTTTAAAAGAGCTGACATCAAATTTTTAAAAACATTAGATTTTTGATGGCATTTTCTATTAGGCTTAATGCTATATGGAAGCAAGATATTATCAGACAATTATGATCCAACCACAATATTAAAGGGATCATGATTCTCTTCTCTGATCACTTCGATATTTCCTGAATCGTTCCATGTATCTTCTTATTCCATTCTCCGCTCATTTCTTTCCCAAAATAGTTCATATTCCAGCATGTGAAACATTCTTGAGATAATTTAAATGCAACTGAATTTTTTTCAGTAGTTCCTACACTACATATTTCATGCTTTCTCTCAATCATATATATCTTAGCCAATATTTGTAGTATACGTATCAGGAATTTTAAGCCGTAACATGTTTCACCTCACTAACTCCTGTCAGTCACACTTTTTTTGAAAGCGATAATTCAAAGAAATTTAGATGAAATGTTGTATTGATTCTTGGATTTATTCTACAGGAGAGATTCTCTTTATGCTCGTACAAGTGTAACGTGATATAGGTATGCGTTTGCAAATGCGTGTAAATATGAAATGAAAGAGAGTTGTTTGTGATTGTCAAACTTCAATGACGGGTAATTTGATTTCAACTATAAATAGTTGTGTTCGATGAATACTGGGCGTGTGCAGTAGTATGTATGTGTGTGTGTGTGTGTGTGTGTGTGTGTGTGTGTGTGTGTGTATATGCATGACAATCAATTTCTCTATCAAACATTGAAGATAGATAGACTGGTGACGACTTCCGATTAACTGAGAGTGGTATCAAAACAGGTAGCAAAATAACTGCTAACAGCACATGCTCCAGTCCTTTTCCAGTTTTGACATCCATTAATTGACGAAGTTATAAATATTCGTTTCTTCTCCTCTTCTTCATAATGAATGATGATGGCCATGGTGACAACAAATCTCATTGACAGAAATGACGAAATGTGGGTCATCTATTAAAAGAGCATGATACACCGCAGTGTCACATAATGCTGCTCTCGAATATTTTCGGTATTTTTCAAGATCGGCTCTCTGCGCTTTTCTACAAATATGGTCTGATTGTGAGTTATAATCCGCGGCCGTTTGTACTAATACCTATCTTGATCACTTTCTTGCTTTCGCTCGGTATATTTACTGTGAACGTTGAAGTTAGTGTTTCTTTTTTTTCGGATGAATGAAAACCTCGTGATGACTTATTTATGAATATTCTGGATATCCGGTTTCCTCTCGTAATTTATATAAAAATTTTCATAATAATCTGCCAAATTTAATTCTTTTCCGCTGGCATCGTGAATTTTTATTTTTGTTGGGGAAAGCTTCTAATTTGATACAATCGAATTGTTTGATGAGAGTTTATTATTTGATGGAGAGATTATACTTCTGGACATTATAATACAATTATCAAAAAATATAGTTAATTGAGTCAATCTCGGTGGTGAATAAGGCGCTATATATTCCTTTCGAGTTGATTGGTACTTGGCGAGACAAAAGTTATGGTACAAAGATCATTTGATAAATGAAACTAATGATATACAATAAATCATCTGATCATTTGATAGATGAAGCTGATGGTAAAAAGTGGTCATCTGGTCATTTGATGTATATTATTGACAGTATTCTTGGAATCGTATATCAAATGAATGAACCAGGCATATCCCCTGATTAAAACAATTTCATTAGCATAAATCTCAATAAAACAAAAATACTTTAATTAGTAAGTAATTTCATATTATATGGTTATTTCCTGATAGCTGGGATATTACAGGATGACCTCAGATTTCTGTATTCACCGATTAATTCCCCAGCACGATTTGAATACAGCATACATAAAGCATTCACCGGTGATTCCATCAACAGTACCTATGTCGCGATAGCTGTTGAACCAAACAACAATTTGCGCAATCTGTTAAGAAAGGTTTGTTTGACGTTTTACAATGTAAAATAGGAATTCAGCTACCAATTTTTCTATTGTCATATACACAATTTAGCATTATTAGAAGTCGTTTGAATCGATATAGCTTGAGAAAAAAAATTATTGCAAGGTAAAATAGTAGTAGTAATCAATCAGAGTATTCTTGGGACTCTGCAGAAAGCAATGATAACCAGAAAGGCTTTAATTACATGTCATCTCTAGAAGTTGTAGCAGAAGAGTTAGTGTTGAAAGGAGTTGTAACAAAAGAGTTATGCTGAAAGACTTATTTGAAACGCTAACGAAAAGTCCGTTCCCTTTGAAAGTAAAACTATTATTTTTAAATGAAAGTTACCGGAATGCTCATTTCAGGAGATTGCTACCGAAATTCTGAGTTTGAATGAGTTTGTTCTAAATAATTTAACTGTTAATCTAAACGGTCGAATTTATAATTTCGGAAAAGACATTTGCATACGCACCGCACTTTGCCCATTCAGTAACACCATTGTACAATTTTTCTTTAATGCATTCTGGAATGAAAAGGTTGGTCCCTACTTTGCTTTCAATTACACAAGAACAAAAATTTTGGTAATTTTTTCATTATTTTATTTGCAGCTATGGGATGATCCACGTGTACGTTTGGATTATCCTTTTCTGTACTTTTTCGAGAATAAGTTCTTTCTACCGCTTCATTTGTACGGTGTGAAACTTGGAGGAGTGAAAGGTATTGAATCGATCGAAATGATACATCTTCATTATTCCATACCATCTACCGATCATGCAAGTTCTATTTATTATTACTAAAACATTTCGAAGATCATTTCATGCACAAAAGTCCATGAAATAAATAAACCAAAAGGGATAATGCAAATTTTCAACTTTGAATGATCGATTATTATAAGTTAATGTTTGGAAATGAAGCACTGCATCTGAAGAACTGGTGGATTCTCAAGAAACAGCTTATGCTAGGCTTATTATTTAAAGATGGAAAAAATGACAGCTCCATTAAGATTAGATCGGAAATGGCGAAGTAATGAAGTTGAGAATAAAGCCGTATAGAAAAGAAAAATGGGAAAGATATGGAAAATTATTAATAAACTTTAGCAAATATAATTAATTCAAATTATTTTAAGGAAATTATGAAATAAGAGTGAAATGAAAGGTGCAAACTTCAGGAGACAGCCGAAGTCGTTAGTGGTGCACTCGAAAGTGCGTTGAAGGAGTATTTGGCGATAAACGAGCGAAGTTTGATCAAAACATCCATGTTCAGCTTCTCAATGCTCAAAAATGAAATGAATAAAAATGCGCTCTGCGCCTTCCCATTTATCTCACTCACCTTTCTTCTACTGGTCACTTTTACCATTCTTTCCTGGTTCGTTTATTTCTTCAGTTATTAGCAAGTTGACAGACTTTATTAATTGATAGAAATGATCGGTAAAAGTATTAATTATTATTCAAAGCACTCCTTAATTACAGTGAGCTATAATTGAGACACTTCAAAAAAGTGCGAAAGAAAAGCTTCTTAAAGGCAGTCCCAACACGTTCATTCATTCAGTGTACAGATCATAACACAATTTGTATATTGAATCGAAATGTTGAGAAACAGTAGTAGAGCTTACTTATAACGTTTTATAGCATGACAGGTGACTGGGTCACATCCAAACCACTCGAAGCGCTGATGGGTGTACTCTCATCATCTTTTGCAATTATCAGTGCAACAGGATTCATGTTCCTGATGGGAATACCGTTTGTTAGCCAGGTAACGGTAATGCCATTCCTAGCACTGGCTATTGGCGTAGATGACACGTACGTAATGCTCGGAGCATGGCAAGATACACGACGTTGCCTCCCACCATCCAAGCGAATGGCATTATCACTACAAGAAGCTGGCAGGTACACAAAAAATGCATCAAATTAAACCAATTTCATTATCAAATCCATTTGAAAACATTTGCGACAAAACTAATCTTATAATGATCAATCCAGTCCTACACTCATTGGATATTGCAGTGCGATAACAGTAACATCAATCACTTCAATGCTTTCCTTTGGCATAGGCTCATTCAGTACCACACCAGCAATATCTATATTTTGTCGTTTCATTGCTATGGCTATTATTTTCGATTGGTTTTATCAGGTAAATTGCTTCCGAATAATTAGAATCGTGTTTAACATTACATTTTTTTACACTTTTTACTGACTTTTCTTATCACAAAATTCGGGAAAGACAATTGAATTTCACTCCATTCTATTTATGGTCGAATTTAAAATCTCCACCCTTTAAATTGAAAATATCTGAAATAAAAATTTTAAGGTAACGTTTTTTGCTGGTGTAATGGCACTTGGTGGCAAGCGCGAAGCTGTTGGATATCATTGCATATTCGTTTGGAAAAAGATGCCCAAAGAGATTGTCGAGGAGGTTCAAAATTTGCTTGCATTGTTTTAGGCCTAAAATTTCAAGTTTTCCATCTGTGATACTTTTCCTGATAATTTTTTTTCATATATTTTTCTGACGCTTTCCTAATAATTCAACTTCCTTTTATCTTCCTAGAACTAAATAATTCTCAGCTTCCTTTTATCTTCTTAAAACTAAATGAACAAAGCTTAATTATTAATCTGAAAGTAAAACAAGCTTCAGTCAAGACAAAACACTAAGTTATCAATAACGCATACATTATTCGCGGATTACATTGCGCCATTTCTGTGCCACAAAGTAACGCGTATCACTTTCATTGGTATTTATGGACTATACATCTTTGGCGCATTTTATGGATGCTCATTGTTGCGACCAAATTTAACACCAAGTCGCTTATTAGTTGATGATTCGCCATTGACTCATTATCTGAAGCTGGCTGAAACGAAAATATGGTCGGAGGGAATGGTGGAAAGAGTCTATGTGAATAATGCGCCCGACTTTACTGCTGATCCAAAGCAGGTATATGTTTTGAATAATTCAGATTCTTACAAAAAATCTCTTACATATCTAAGGGTACAAGAATTGCGAATTGGAATATATGCCCAGTTCAATTACCTTGAAAGGACATCGTTATCTACTGGCCAAAAGGAACAAGTGCGATTAATAAATCCAGTTGAAGTCAAATATGCATTTGCAATAATTTCAGAAATCTTTGTATCATAACATCTAACATCCAATAAAATTTCCCCCTCAACTTCATTTTTATCGTTCAAATCTAAACATTTAGGCCGATGTTATGCTACGATTGGCAGAAGATTTAGAAAACACGGAATGCTCACTAGGAAAAAATTCCACTCAATTTTGGCTTCGCGAATATTTAAATTACCGACAATTCTTCGAAAGTAACGATGAAGACTTCTACGATACTCTCGATTCATTCCTCAACATATCCTTTAATTCACATTGGAATTCATATCTGTCTTGGACGCAACATCCAATAAAGGTGACTGTTACGATTTCTTTCCTAACTAAATTCAGTTTATTTGGTGAATTTTTTGCATGGTACCAATTAGGCCGGTAAACACCTAACTCGGTGGTCATCTATCAGTTCGGAAAAGTTGAACATAACCAAAACTTTCCAAATACGAAATTTTCAGCCTGGTAAAAGATATGTGAACCGTTTCTTCTTCACAACCGCTTTCAAAATAAAAGATTGGAAAGTTCGTACTGCTTTACTATTACAGTGGCGCAACATAGCAAGTCATTATTCAAAGTATGAAGCTTTGGTTTTTGACGAAAATAACTTCTATTCGGATCAAGTAAGCTATTCGAAAACTTTAGCAGGGACTTCATGCTTTTTTTTTATAAAAACCCAAAATCTCATTACGTCCAACTTAAAATATCGCTAAGATTCTCTCGCATCAAGCAGATCCGCAAATGAAAAGTGAGTTAACATGCAGCGCATGACTGCTGACATATTGAAAGTGTATGCAACGTAATCATTTGTAATGTAAAAATAAATGCTTTATTTGCTTCTCCTCTAAATTTCGGGATGATGACAAATTGCAGCACATTTAAAAGTTCCAAATGACGGTGTAAATGTTCTTTCCATTTGCAGATGTTAGAGCTGCAATCAACAACCTTATCGTCATTGGGTACCGCAATCCTGGCTATGATTATAGTGTGCATTTTATTTATCGCCGATAGTACCATCGTATTCTGGGTTGTTTTCTCTATGCTTTCAATGGATATCGGCATTGCTGGTTATCTTTCTCTTTGGGGAGCTGACCTGGACCCAACAACTGTTGTCAATATTCTGGTTTGTATAAGATTTGTTGAAAGTTTTATCACGTTTAAAAACTTACGTAATAAATTCCATTTCACATTATGTGTACCGTTTTAGTTGAAGCAAAATTATTGGAATGATTGGAAGATATAGAGTAGTGTAGAGAGTGACACATGAATTATCCTAAATTCTTCGCCAACCGTAGTTTTGATTCAAATAAATTTAAGTTACTTCAGCACTCTATAGAAATGATAATCCTTAAACTGATCACAACTGCGATCACGAAATTGTTAGACGCAATTACGGTATCGTACTGTAGACATCACTTGCTTTCTTAATAACAATGACAGTCACGAGGTGCTGCTATTTCTGATGTCTTCAATCTTCCCTAATTTTGTTGTGTATTGCAATCACTGCTCCCCATATTTCATTCTAGATGAGTATCGGTTTATGCGTCGATTTCGCCACTCATGTTGGTTATCGTATATATCGGAGCAAGTGCCGAAATCTTGATGAACGTATTCAAGATGCGTTGGGAGCGGTTGGTTGGCCGGTGGTGCAAGGTGGCACTTCAACATTTTTAGCTATTATTGTTATGATGCTGGTACCATCAAATGTAGTACGCATGTTCGCGCGCACATCTATCCTGGTTGTTCTTACGGGTTTATTTCATGGGATTGTCTTATTACCAGTTATTATAAGGACATTTGCTTCTTATACTACTTGCGAAAAGGATCTTCAAATAAAAGGGTAACTGAATTACTTGATATATCGTGATATGAAACAAAGAAAAGTAAAAAGACATATGCAAGACGTGAAAAATACGTACAAGTTAACCAGAAGTTGAGAATGAAAAATTTCATGAGGTGTAGCCATCGTTACAACTGCATCGGTCACTCACTAGTCAACAGTGGTCAAACTTTAACATCGTTTCCAAGTGTTTTTGTCAATCCTCTTCATCTAACATCAAACTATCGACACCACAACCAGAGAACCACAATAGAACACTTCGGAGGACTATTTCTATTAAACATATTATTTCTGCTCCCCCCCGCAACCATTGAAATTAAATTGATTTTCATCACATTTCTCATCAATCTCTAATTCCGATCACGGCAATTCTCAAGAGATGTTTCAGCATGGTGATTCTTCCACTGTAACAGACAGAGTAAGTCTACTTGCTTATTGATTTGAGTTTCAGAGGCCTTCAGCGGGAGAAGTGAGAGATGATGTTTTGGAATCTCAAAATACTTTTTTACTAAACAATAAATGAAGAAAATACTTGACAAACATTACAATAATATTCTTTTCATTTTTATATGTGTAAGTAAAGTTAGTAAAAAGGCATGCAAAATTAAAGACAATGATAATATATACAAAAAATGAAAACAAAATTGAAGTCAAAATGAAATATGTGTAAGTAATATGTGAATTAAATGACATGAAAAGCATATCACTCAATGGTTTGATGAAAGTGAAAGAAAAGTCAACTTTCACATGCGGCTGACAGAAGAGAAGGAAAGAAATGTAAATCAGCGAGAGTTCAGATCAATCGCAATGAGTTAGAAGTAATATTAATCGCACTGACCCATCGATCCATCCACTGCATAGAATGAAATCAAGAAAACACTTTCACAATTAGTTATACGATACGATGAAGGAGAAGCAAGATTAGCAACCTTTGACTTCACTTCTTTGACTTCAACTCAAGCTTCATTACCGGTTTGAGCAAGAGAATTAGTTTCGGATAATTTAACTATTAAAGATAAGTGTGGTAATAAAAAAGGATAGAAATTAGCTAAATGATTCATCGCATTAGACATTGTAACAATCAAATTACAAATTACAATTCAAATTACAATCAATTTATGTGATGAATCACTTAATGTCTAAAAATGAGCAAGAAATTTAAGCTTAGGCTTAGTCTCAGTTTCATATAAATAAGTAGTGCCAAATAATCAAATAACTAATTTTATATAAAGTTTTAAAGATAAGCGACTATTTACGGAAGAAATTTGTCATCTCATACCTTTCATTATAATGACTTCAGTAAACCTTCTGAAGAAATATTATTTACAAAAAATGGATTTCTGAGATTGCAATTGCAATTGCATAATTTGGAATAAAGTAAGTGTTTTACAGATTTGAGAAAAAAGAATTCGATTCAGAAAAATTACTATTTTCTATAAAATAACAAACATGATCGAAGTACACATCTTTGTTATCGTTTACATCATTTCTTCTCTATTCTTTCTCTCAAATTTATTTTTAAATTACAATCAAATTACTATTTATGCTATGAATCATTTGAGTGAGAGATATTTCCTCAGTAAATTATCCGTGTTAATGAAACATATTTATTACAAATTACTTCGAGTTTCGTGGCACTTTCGAATGAAGAAGTTGAATACTTTGGGAGAGATAAATTAAGAATTAAAACAAAAAGAATTTTGTCTTATAACTGCCATTTGGTTAGCTGATATTTCTTAACCATCATTCTTAAAAAACGGGGTTTTTATGTCTTCTATGCATTCGCCGTTTGGTAGCAAGGTTCTTCAAATTCTTTTTTGATTGGGTTTGTTAGATTACCTTGCGACTACTATTTCTCTTTCTTCGTTCCATACTATTCTTTGAATGCAATTACCCATTGCAGCCAAATTGATTCCCCTCCCATTAAACATGTCGGCTTTTTCCATTGGAATTCGTAATTTTTCAGTTTAACATGAGATAGGCATTTTATTGCTACATCATCGGAGCTGTGATCGACCAGGATATAACGAAAAAGAATTTGGCCCTTCGTATTTCTTCACCTCAATTTTGTACGAATGTTGTTAATAATTGGGATTTATTTTGGATCCAATGTAACGCGCATGAAATCAAAAAATTTATGAAAAGCGATAATTTAGAGCGGTGCAGGCGAGGCTAATGGAGAAACATTTCCCAACAGAAAATACGAATTCTTCGGCGGATGTCTATACCAATTTCAACAAAATGTGCAATGAATAATTAGACCGCCCAGCCAAACACAAATGTGAATATAATAGAGTATTTATTATGTGTTGCAAAATGCAAATTTTTTGCGACAACTGAATTTTGGCCCTTCGTATTTTTTCAACTCAATTTTGTACGAATGTTGTTAATAATTGGAAATTATTTTGGATCCAATGTAATCCGTCTATCCATACGATTCCATTTTCTATCTATTTTTCCACGAATTGAGCAGTCCGATGAGTATTGCGAATTCGTATCGAGGTACTGTAATTTCATTGATCAATGCAATTCGGGATTCAGCAAAAACCAAAAATATTTCCTTTTCTTCGTCTTGTAGATATACGCTAGTTGGAAACACATTGGTTGATGATGAGGCATCAGTGAAGACATGAAATTGTGATTGCTCATAGAAGGTTGCTATGAATACCAATAATTATATCAGTTTCTTGCGTCATATTCATTGGTGAGCGTAAACCAGAAGATTTCATCAAAAGGATATTGGGTTCTTTGCTTAGAAGGCTTAGGGTTACGTTTTTTGGGTTTATGCTTAGGCTTACGCTTAGGCTTAAGCTTAGGCTTAGGCTTAGGGTTAGGCTTAGGCTTAGGTTTAGGCTTAGGCTTAGGCTTAGGCTTAGGCTTAGGCCTAGGGTTAGGTTTTTTGGGTTCGGGATTCAGCAAAAACCAACAAATATTTCCTTTTCTTCGTCTTGTAGATA